CCACCCAAAGACTCCCCTTCCAGGTTCTTCTTCCTACCTGATTGCCGTGCGCGCATCAAATCACTACTAATGCGGAAGTAACAGGCTGTATAAATTGTCCCCCATGCCTATGCTTGGGACTCAGACTTCTGGACAGTGATCTCCTCCATGCCCACCAGTGTGAAATACACCCCCTGCCTTCTAAGATCTCCAGGTGCCGCTTGGTTCTTCCGCCGGGTGATCCAGACCGGGTTCTGTAATATTTGGCTTCCTGACCAGGAAACCCAACCGCCCTGGCCCGTTGTTGCCACCGGTTTGGGAAAATGGCGAGGCAATGACGGAACGAGGAATCACAACAGAGAAGGCACCTCCCCCACCCCGCCTGATACTCAGCAGTCTCCCACTCGGTTGCCTCGGGTCGGCCCCGCTCTGTTGTTCCCACTGGACTCAAGAAGACTTTGCAGGTGAGGACCTGGACCCGACGTCAAATGATGGTAAGGCCTGGGGGCCCCTGAGCCGGTGAGACCCACCGATTGGGTGGAAGGGGAGCCTGATTACCTCCTGGAGACCTTTTAGAGGTGTCACGGGTAGGGATTCCTAGGGAGGGACTGTATTAACTTCTGGTCTGAATGTTGAGTGAACGTGCAGCCTGACCTGGTCCTCCCGTTGGGACTGAGTCTGTGGCTTCACGGGCAGGCACCCTTAAGGTCCCCAAAAGCCCACGGAGTCTGAATGGGCCTGTCTGTGATTCCGTGGTGAACGGCATACAGTTTATGGCTGGTATCAGGATAGTTTCCGATCGTAAGTCACAATGCCGAGACCGTTACAGATAAGCGTCACCTAAGTTCTTTGGGACACAGCCAGACGGGCAACTGACTGGTCTCCTCATTAGAAGGAGGCACCCCATCCCTCTGTCTATCTTTGTGATTCCATCTCATGGGAACATTATGGGGTCGGGACAGAACAGAAAAGGGGTTTTCAGGAGACTGTGGAATTAAGATGACCCCCGGCAAGATAAGGACCCTATGTGAGTTGGAATGGCCCACTTTTGGTGTAGGATGGCCTTCGGAGGGAACCTTAGATGTCCCAATGGTCCGCCGCGTCTGGCGTGGTGTCACTAGGGACCCAGGTCACCCTGATCAGTTCCCATATATTGACTCCTAGTTAGAGATTGCCCAACCCCTTCCCCCTTGGGTGCGATTTACCTGCAAAGAACAGGGACAGGCCTAAGGTCTTAGTTACCTCGACAAAGTGGCCCAAAGAAGGTCAACAGAAGTCCCAGCCTCCACAAGTTCTTGCCAGTGATCCGGAGGAAGAACCAATCTTGCCCCCGCATCCCCGGTTCCCGATACTCTGCCAGCTTCAGTCTCCCCAGCACCTCCGGACTCAGCAGATCCTCTCTCCCCCGGACCAGTGGCCAGATTGCACCCTCGGCCAGGCGCAGGCGCTCTCCACATGCCAGTCCACATCTGCTGGTACCAAGAGGCTCTCCTCCGGGGGATCCGAGCAGGGGCAAAGAGGCCCATGAATATGCCCAGCAGCAAGGGGAGTCCCCCGGGGATTATTATGAGAGGCTATGCGAGGCTTACACCCCGTTTGGTCCTGAGGCACAAGAGAGGCACGGCAAAAGGACAGGGAAGGGCCAGCCGCTGAAAGGGGAGAGGCCCAGAACCTCCTTAGCAAGGGATCGATGCTCCTACTGCAAGGAGAAGGGACATGGGAAGAATGAGTGTCCCAACCGGGGAAAGTCCCAGAAACCCAGCCGATACGCACAAGAACCTGCGGAAAGGACCTCACAGACCTAGCAGGAACAGATTCAGATTGAGGGGGGCCGAGCTCCTTTCTTCTTGGCCCCCATGAGCCCCCGGTCAAAATGAAAGTAGGTGGAAAGACTGGTCGACGCTGGGGCTAAACATTCTGTGGTCACCTCCCGCATGGCCCCCTTTAGCGAGAAGACTGCAACCATCCTCGGGGCCATAGGGAAACGGGCAATGCAACAGCCCTTCTGCCAAGCCATCAGTGTGAACTTGGGGGCCACACGGTATGGCATGAGTTCCTCTACCTGCCGGAGTGCCCTGTCTCTCTCCTCAGCCGGGATATATTCTCAAAGCCGGGGGCCCAAATAACCTTTGAGCCAACAGATGCACCAGCTTCCGATTGGATCCGAAACAAGAAGAATCAGGCCTCCTTATAATGGCCATGACTACGCCAAGAGAGGAAGAACGGAGGCTATTCCATGCCCAGGCCCAACCGAGTGGCCCACCTGATTTCAGGACTGCCTTCCCCACTGTGTGGGCCCATGACAACCGCCCTCCCCCCGGACTTGCCCACAACCGGGCCCTGTCATTGTAGAGTTAATCCCATGGGCTCATGCGCAGAGATAGCAGCAATACCCCCTCCCACAAGAAGCAAGGTCAGGCCTCCAAGAAAGCAGGCATGCTGGTTGAATGCCAATCACCACAGAACACCCTGTTCTTGCCAGTCAATGAGCTGGGAGGAGGGTACGGACCAGTTCAAGACCTACGAGCTATCAACAAAGTGATAGTCTCCTTGCACCCGGTGGTCCCGAACCCGTACACCCTCCTCAGCCGGATCCCAGGCTCTGCCAGCTGGTTTACCTGCCTAGACTTCAGGATGCCTTCTTCTGCCTTCTCTTGCCCCCCACCCCCGCCCAGAGCCAACCCTTGTTTGCCTTCCAATGGACCGAACCAGGCACGGGACATTAGATGCAACTGACTTGGACGCGCCTCCCACAGGGGTTTAAAAACTCGCCTGCCCTCTTTGGGGAGGCACTGGCCGGGGACCTCACCAGCTTTCCAAGGGAGGCCACGTTGTGCCCTCTTTTCCAGTATGTGGATGACCTCCTCCTTGGCAGCAATACCTGAGAGAACCAGACAGAGGGTACAAGGGCCCTCCAACTCCTGTCGGACTCAGGGTATCGGGTCTCATGGAGAACAGCACAGATCTGCCACCAGCAAGTCTGATACTTCCTCCTCACCCAAGGAAAAAGAGCACTGGGGCCAGAGAGATAAAAGGTCATCACCTCCCTACCCCAGCCCCAAACTAAGAGAGGGCTACGAGAATTCTTGGGGGCTGTGAGATTCTGCCGGCTCTGGATTCCCAGATTCTTGGCAATAGCAAGACCCCTCTATAAACTCTTGGTAGGGCCAGATCGAGAACCCTCTGTCTGGACAGAGGAGGCCAAAGCCGCCTTCCTAGAGATGAAGAGCGCCTTGGGGCAGGCTCCAGCCCTTGGCCTGCCGAATATATCATCTCTTTGTGCATGAGAAGGCAAAGGTCACCCTCAGGGTTCTCACATAGACCGTTGGCCCTTGGCAACGACCAGGAGCATACCTATGGAAGAGGCTGGACCCAGTGGTGGCAGGATGGCCACCGTGCCTTAGGGCACTATTGGCCTCAGTTCTACTCATTAAAGAGGCAGGTAAGCCCACCCTGGGACAAGAACTAAATGTTAAAGTCCCCCATGCCATCATATGGCGGGCACTCAAAAAGTGGGTTAGACTTCACACATGTCCTGCCCAGCCGATGATTTACATACCTCCTAGGGATAGTCTGTACGTACTCTGGGTGGGTCGAAGCCTTCCCTACGAGGACGGAATGGAGCGAGGAAGTAGCTAAAGTCCTCCTGAGAGAAATTGTCCCCCAGTTTGGCTTACTGGCCACAACCCACAGCGGTAACAGGCCTGCGTTCTTGGCGGACATTAACTTTTTAACCAACTCCCTCAACATCACTTGGATCGGCCTCAAAGCTCAGGGAAAGCAGAGCGGATGAATCACACCCTCAAGGGAACCTTAGCCAAGTTCTGTCAGGGAACAGACCTCCCACGGCCAGACCTGTTGCCCCTGGCCCTCCTGCGTGTCTGTTGCACACCAGGAACTAAAGATTTCTCTTCTTTTGAACTAATATGTGGGAGGCTCCCCCCCACCCTTGTCTAGGGAGCCTCCCAGGGAAGCTACACCAAATAGGGGAAAAGGGAATAAGAGAACAACTTCAAGCTTTAGGGACCGCCCTACATGAGTTACGATAGAGAGTTCCCCAATCTCTTTAGGATCCCCTGTGCCCCCCTTCTCACCAGGGGGCTTGGTCTGGATCAAAGATTAGAAAAAAGACCCTCTCAAACCACAGTGGACTGGGCCTCATACCGTTAACTTCATGGGTCCACCACCCCAGAGTCAAGAGGGCCAATCCTAAGGAGCCCCACACTTGGAAGACTGACCCAAGTCCAACGATCCCGCTCAAAGCAACCTCCCAGAGAGTCCTAGATTCTTAGGATCTTCAGCTCTGCTCCAGCCACACCCCAGAAGCTGCCAGGCAGCAGAAGCCTAAGGAATCACAGGTCTGATAAAATAAATAGACTGTCCTTACTCCTTGCCATCGGATTGGCAGAGGTTGCCCTAGAAAGCTGGGGAGACAGCGAGAAGTTCACGTTCGCACTCTCCTTCCTCTCATGGGTAGGATGTTTCGTTGGTGTCGATTGCCTCTAATCTGGGCCCCATCTGTAAACCTTCAGCCCCGAAGCCCAGGCTAAATGAGCGGTGTTGCTGCCTGTCCTCCTACGGCCAGGAATAGCCACGGGGCCAACTCCCCAGTGTCCCTGCAGAGCCAAATAAGTTCCCTGGCCGGAGTTGCCCTTCAGAACAGATGGGCGCTTGACCTCCTCGCTGCCGAGAAAGGGGGCACCTGCATCTTCCTCGGAGAAGAATGCTGTCACTTTGTAAACCAGTCAGGAATAGTCACAACCAAAGTCAAGGACCTAAGAGAAGGGACCAGTCCACAATAAATGAAGATGATGCCCTCTAATACAGCCTAGATCTTTTTAAAGGGGTGTCCAAGGGGGGAATGATAGGGAAAGGTTATAAAATGGCCAACAGCACTGCTAGGGGAATTCCAGTCCCCGCCCAGAGACTCTTCTGGGTTCTTCTTCCTACCCCGCTTGCTGCACACGCCAAATTACTACTAATGCAGAAGTAATGGACTATAAATTGTCCCCCATGCTTACGCTCAGGCCTCAGACCTCTGGACGGTGATCTCCGCTGAGTCCGCCGATGCGAAATAAACCTCCTGCCTGCCAGGAGTGTCTTCTGAATGTCGCTTGGCTCTTTGGCCGGGTGATCCAGACCGCGACCGTGACATCAGGACCTTAGTTATCTAATCTCTGTTTGACGTCACCGATTATGCTGAAACCTCGCATCATAATTATGTTTCTATAAATTGTTATTTCTAGCAGTTTTCGTTTTAGGACATTCTCTTTGGAATCTCTGGGAACTTAAGTTCCTTTGTGATTCAGTCTTTTTGTGAGAAAACTTTTAATCTAGTTGGTGTCTCCTCCCTCGTATTCTACTTCGCTACAGTTTTCATTTTTCTCTCTGCTTTTTCTATCTTTCTGTCTCTACCACTCTGACTTGCTCTCTACCTTTTGGAGGGGAGGAAAATAAGGCTGTTCTAGATTCTTAGCAGAGGTACCCCTGTAATGAAAAGACAGATTAACAGAAGGAGAACAAACAGAAGCTTAATAAAATGTACACAGGAGAGAGACCCAGGAAAACTGAGTAACTCCACCAAATGGCCCAGGCCACCAGAAACACCATCTCCAGCTAAAGACAAAAGGCATTGGAGGTGGTGCCTCTGTTGGGAAATTACCAGGAAAGGTACTGTTAAGATCAGGTTTTTACACAGATTTGAGTTGTTTTCTTCTCCAGTGATCAGAATTTCTAGGGATTTAGAGCCTTCCTTTTTCTTCCTGGTACAGAGGGAAATGCCTTTACAAATGGAGGCTTCCCTTATGCATGTAAATATCTTACAGAAAGGTAACATCTTATTTTCAGAGGTCCTCCTCTGTTGGCTGCGTAAAAAACAAAACAAAACCAAAGAAACCCCCCAAAATAAAGCCACTCTAAAATAATTCTTATGCCAAAGAGGCGTATTTTGGGGTGACGAATTCTGCTGTCCTTCACTTTCATGCTGGAGTCTGGCAGCCCCAGACTGTTCTCAGGGACCCAGAACGTGAACTTTCACTCTACCCCTCTCCTGTTGAAGCCCAGCCTAAGAAAATATCTGATATTTTCTCTTCATTGTTAGTTAGCATTCTTCATTCTCTTACATTATTTGACTGATAAACATTCAGTGATTACAAAGATGATGGTGTTGTCAACCGATCTATGTCCATTTGCTCCGCCACAGATTTTGTACCAATAGCATTCGATGCAGAGAGGTAGGTGGGAGTGAATATTATCGCCATGCTTTCATACCCAACTCCAAAGCAAAAAACGAAAAAAAAAAAAAGGAAAGTTTCATATTGAATCCTGAAGGGGCAGAAAACGTTGCCCTTCTACCCTTCTAGGTTCTTTGACTGGTCTAATTAAATTGCCAAAAGACCGATTAACAGGAGAGAAACCAATTTAATTACATACCTCTGGGAGCCCCACAAAGGCACAAAGACACAGAGGCAGAAGGGTAATTGACCGTCCAGAACTAAGGCAAAGGGTGTTAGGGGTCTGAGACTTCAGAGAGGAGGAAGACGTCTGAAGGGAACAGGTAAAGAGCGAATGTGTGTCTGGTCAGCAAATGTTTGCCGTGCCTTGGCCAAGAAGTCTTCCTGATGGAAGAATTCTCTGGTAATGGCTCTCTTCCTGGTACAGGGTCGCTATCTAAATTCTCGTAGGCAGTTAAGGGACAGGTAAAGGGTTCCAGATGTTCTGAGTCTGCTGGAACCCAGTTGTTTTCAGGTTGAAATACATATTACTTCTTTCCCTATTTTTCAGTCGATGGACACTTGGGCTCTTCCCATAATTTGGCTATAGTTGATAGCACTGCTATAAACATTAGAGTGTGTGTACCCCTTTGAATCAGCATTTTAGTGTCTTTTGGATAAATTCCTAGTAGTGCAATTTCTGGGTTGTAGGGTAGTTCTGTTTTTAGTTTTCTAATGAACCTCTGTACTGCTTTCTAGAGCGGCTGCTCCAGTTTGCATTCCCACCAACAGTGCAAGAGGGTTCCTGTTTCTCCACATCCTCACCAAATTCTGTTGTTTCCTGAGTTGTTAATTCTAGCCACTCTGACCGGTACGAGGGGATATCTCATTGAGGTTTTGATTTGCATTTCCCTGACGACAGGTGATGTTGAGCCTCTTTTCATATGTCTGTTGGCCATCTGGATGCCTTCTTTGGAAAAGTGTCTCTTCATGTCTTCTCATTTCTTCACTGCATTTTTTGTTGTTGTTTTTTGTTGTTGAGTTTGGTAAGCTTTTCATAGATTTTTGGATACTAACCCTTCATCTGACATCTCATTTGCAAATATCTTCTCCCATTCTGTTGGTTGCCTTTTAGTTTTGTTCACTGTTTCCTTTGCTGTGCAGAAACTATTTATGTTGATGAGGTCCCAGTATTTAATGTTTGCTTTTCTTTCCCTTGCCCTGGAGATGTGTCAAGTAAGAAGTTGCTGGGGCCTACGTCAAAGAGGTTGCTACCTGTTTTTTCCTGTAGGATTTTGATGGTTTCCTGTCACACATTTAGGTCTTTCATCCATTTTGGATTGAATTTTGTGTACGGTGTCAGAATGTGGTCCAGTTTCATTCTTGTGCATGTCACTGTCCAGTTCTTCCAGCACCATCTGCTATATGGTGATTTTTCCATTGGATGTTCTTTCCTGCTCTGTCGAAGATTAGTTGGTCGTATGTTTGTGGGGCCATTTCTGGGTTCTCTATTCCATTCCGTTGATCTATGTGTCTGTTTTTGTGCCAGTACCATCCTGTCTTGATGATGACAGCTTTTTGTTGTCTGATGGCTGATGCTAGGGCTTCCAGCACTATGTGAAACAACAGTGGTGAGAGTGGACATCCCTGTCGTGTTCCTGATCTCAGGGGGAAAGCTCTCCGTTTTTCCCCTTTGAGGATGATGTTAGCTGAGGGCTTCTCATAGATGGCTCTTATGATGTTTACGTAGGTTCCTTCTATCCCAACTTTCTCGAGAGTCTTTATTAAGAAGGGATGCTGTATTTTTGTCAAATGCTTTTTCTGCATCTATCGACAGGATCATATGGTTCTTATCCTTTCTTTTATTAATGTGATGGATCACATTGATTGATTTGTGAATATTGAACCAGCCCTGCAGCCCAGGAATGAATCCCACTTGATCATGATGAATAATTATTTTAATATACTATTGAGTTCGATATGGTAGTATCTTGTTGAGAATTTTTACAACCATGTTCATCAGGGATATTGGCTGGGAATTTTTCTTTATACTGGAGGCTTTTATCTGGTTTTGGAATCAAGGTAATGCTGGCCTCTAGGAATGAGTCTGGAAGCTTTCCTTCCATTTCTATTCTTTGGAACAGTTTGAGAAGAATAGCTACTAACTCTTCATTAAATGTCTGGTAGAATTCCCCCTGGAAGCCATTTGGCCCAGGACTCTTATTTGTTGGGACATTTTTGATAGCTGATTCAATTTCTTTGCTGGTGATGGGCCTGTTTGAATTTTCTATTTCTTCTCGTTTGAGTTTTGGTACTGTGTAAGAATCTAGAGGTTTGTCCATTTCTTCCGGATTGTCCAGTTCGTAGCATATAATTTTTCATAACATTCTCTAATAATTGTTTGTATTTCTGTGGTATTGGTTGTGACCTTTCATCTCATTCATGATTTTATCTATTTAGACCCTTTCTCTCTCTCTCTCTCTCTTTGATAAATTTGGCTAGGGGTTTATCGATTTTGTTTCTTCTTTCAAAAAAACAGCTCTTAGTTTCAATGCTCTGTTCTTTTGCTTTTAAAATGTTTTTAATGTTTATTTTTGAGAGAGAGAGAGAGAGAGAGAGAATCCGAAGCAGGCTCCAGGCTCTGACCTGTCAGCACAAAGCCCAACATGGGGCTTGGACTCACGGGCTGTGAGATCATGACCTGAGCCCAAGTTGGATGCCTAATCTACTGAGCCACCCAGACGCCCCTTCATTGATCCTACTGTATTTTTGTATTCTATGTCATTTATTTCTGTTCTGATCTTTATTATTTCCCTTCTTCTGCTGGCTTTGGGCTTTATTTGCTGTTCCTTTTCTACCTCCTTTAGGTGCAAGCGTATGTTGTATATTTGGACCCTTTCTTGCTTCTTGAGAGAGGGGCCTGAATTGCAATGTATTTTCCTCTTAGGACTGCCTTTGCTGCATCTCAAAGGGTTTAGACTGTTGTGTTTTCATTTTCATTTGTTCCCTTGTATTTTTTACATTTCTCCTTTAACTTCCTGGTTAACCCATTCATTCGTTAGTAGGATGTTCTGTAACCTCCATGTATGTGAGGGCTTTCCAAATTTTTTCTGGTGGTTAACTTCAAGTTTCATTGCGTTGCGATCAGAAAATACGCCTGGTATGATCTCAGTCTTTTTGTACCTGTCGAGGACTGTTTTGTGACCCACTATGTGATCTATTCTGGAGAATGTTCCATGTGCACTCGAGAAGAATGTGCATTCTGCTGCGTTAGGATGAGATGTTCTGCATATATCTGTTAAGTTTGTCTTGTTCAATGTGTCATTCAGAGCCGATGTTTCCTTGTTGCTTTTCTGCTTAGATGATCTTTCCATTGCTGTAAATGGAGTGTTAAAATCTCCAACAATTATGGCATTATTATCAATAACTTTGCTTATGTTTGTGATTGATTTGTATATTTGGTTGCCTCTAAGTTGAGGGCATAAATATTTCTAATTGTTAGTTCTTCTTGATGGATAGACCCCTTAATTAGAATACAATGCCCTTCTGCATTTCTTGTTACGCACTTTGTTTTAAAGTCTAGTTTGTCTGATAATAAGTGTGGCTACTTCAGCTTTCTAGTGCTGTCCATGATCACGATAGATGGTTCTCCATCCCCTCACTTTCAATCTGCAGGTGTCCTCAGATCTAAAATGAGTCTGTTATAGCAGCATATAGATGGATCTTGTATTTTTTTTTAATCCAGTCCATTACCCTATGTCTTTTGATTGGGGCATTTAGTCCATTTACATTCAGAGTGATTACTGAAAGAGTTGAATTTAGTGCCATTGTGTTATCGGGAGATTGCATGTTTGTGTTGATGTTCCCTGGACCTTTGTAGTCTTTGTTGC